CTTTCGCGCACAACTTTATCTCAACGGTGCTCGCGAGTTTAAGCATTTGAAATGATCTCAGTGATCTCCAGGATAGTTTAATCGAGTCAATCCGGGATAATTTAATCCGTGTACACTCCCCGACAAAGTGTACTCGATAAAATCGTATTACGTCGGAAACGTAATACGTACCTAATTCCAATTAAACGGCGTAATTCGATGATACCGGTCTCACGCTACACAAGATCCTCACGATCTGACCTGATATCTTGTGTTACCGTTGATAATTCAATATGAAAACTTCCATCGTCGCGGTGGTCCACAACAGGGCGAGAAAAGTTGGTTTGCCGTTTATTAAAATCGCAATTCAACTCCGGCCGGACTTCTTTTACATGGCATGAATTTTGATGATTGCCTCCGCACGGACAACAGGCCCATGTTGGTCTCGCGAAAGTATGCCATGACAACGACGAGGTCGGTGACGACGACGACTTCTTCTTCTTCTTCCTCCTGGGAGAGGAAAGGGACATCAGCATATCCCGCGCATCCGTTGTATATGTTGCGTTCCATTTCCAGATACAATGTACGATTTGATCACGTCGCCATCGGCTGGCTCAGACGCAGGTATCCAATCAATACGGGCCCTTAAAAGGCATCGTGTGTCAATTTTGTGTCGAGCATGCCCATAAATGGGGAGCGACAGCATCTCACCGCCGGATGGAAACGCCTGGACTTTAGGTGTTGTTACTCGCGCACCCTCTCTCGCGTCCTCTCTGTCACATTTGCTTATGAATACATCATCGTGATCGAAGCGCGTCATCCTGTGGAATTTTCGTTGGTACGACAAACCGAATCCCCTTTCCTTTGGTGGTTATTAATTCAGAAGATACTTGAAATAAAGATACACGAGAACTGAAGGTTCAATATTTCTTGATGATGAATATATCTCTCTGTCGATCGTTTGGTCATGTGGAGAAGAAAAATACTATAGATTACGCGTTGCAAATGTCTGTGTTTTTCCTCTTTGTAGGAACAAACGATCGACAGAAAGATATATTCATCATCAAAAAATATTGAATATATATATATATATATATATATATATATATATATATATATATATATATATAAGAGAATATCTGTCTGTATGCCCCCTAATAGACTTTTAAACCTTTTGATTGATTTGGATCAGATTTTACAGTTACTCTCTAAGATCCTACGAAAAATGTATGCTACCATAAAACCTGGACATCCCTGGACCCTCTCCCTCTGAATTTCATCCCTTTGAGACTTTGTGATAACTCAGACAACGCCGGGTAGTTTAAGCTATAGTTTTTATATTTTATCTTTTTTATTTTTACATTACTCAAGTTATATCGGGCGTATATAGACTCTATCATGTCATTACGGCGTAATTTTTACGACATACCAGTGCTACTCTCGTAATGTAACTTTAGGCAGCACGAAAAAACCGTACGACTGTAATTGCTAATCCACTCTGCTGTTGTAGCGTTTAATGATCGGACACGTTTCTCACATCTTGCGCAAGAGGTTAACCGATAAAGACGCTCGTTTCGAACGCAAGTTACGCGTATGTAACACGCATTTATGTGCGTACACGTGATAAACATCGGCGAGGCTAAAAAGAATTCATACCGCGTGATAACGTAACATAGTAGCTACGTTTCAAACGATATGAATTTCCATCTAGCTTGAGCATACAGCACTCTAAATTATTACTTTATCAAACATATAATAACTATTCTGTAAATAACATATTTTTAATAGTCAGTATGATTTTCATTTCTGTGATTATTGACATATTATATTAACCCTTTCTCCTCGAATTTTCTCGAAATCTTTTAATTTCAGTGAAGTCCGTAATTAAATTTTCCTTTAAATTTTCATGAAACAATGCCACGATTTAGAAAACCGTGGAGTAACTCCGTAATTAAATTTTCCTTTAAATTTTCATGAAATAATGCCACAATTTAGAAAACCGGATATATTTGCTGATTCTAACATTAATACGATGTTTATTGTAAATTATTGTAAATTATTGTGAATTATATATTATGCGATATAATATTGTGCCTCCTAGATAAACTTATGCCTCCTAGCCTGATGTAACTTATGCCTAGATGTATCACATTTCCGCGGCATTTGATATTTTTAATTTACAATTTTTGTGACCGACTTAATGAGTCGCGGCAACTCCATCCGTAATTATAATGAGCGTCTTATTTTGCTGGTGCTTAAATCGGATAACTGATACGGGGATATTACACACGCTTAAGTGACGATAAGCCATGTGGCCCGACGATAAGTTGCTAAAAAGCAAAACAGAAAAAAAATAACGGCGCCAGCAAAGCTTCTAAGAAGTGACAAGTAAATTATGTCAGCTATTGAAACGTGACGTAGAACATGTTCCAACGCATGATCGCATTTTTATAGACGACTAGTCAATATTTGCAAACACTGTTTTGTATTTCTAGACTGTCATACCTAACGACTATCGGAATTGAAATATTCATCATTTTTCGATGATTTGTCTGTTTTCCTTATCTCAAAGAATTTATTTCGTAATTATGTTTTCTTATTTCAAAGAATTTATTTCGTAATTGTGTCATGTGTCTTTTAAAATGTGCAATTCATTCTTTTTACAGCACAATCTATAATTATATAAAGAAACAATCTAAAATGTATATTTTTACCTTATAATGTAACGTAATTACTTGCGAAACTTAGCATTAATCAGAACTTGCTTATTTTAAGCGAAGTACCAAATTCTCCTAACTGCAACTTCACTTGGCCTGAACTTCCCTCGACCCTATCATTCGAAAAAGCGACAAAATAAGACGATATCGTCGCATAGAGAGAGACCCGCATAAAACCTTAAACCGACTCTCGACGAATACAACAAACGTGTTAAAAGGGGACAAGTAACGACGCTGTAGTCGCGCATGCACATGCAACAGCCGCGTAAGATGTCCAGCGCAAATAAGCCGCGTGGGACGTGCGCGAAAAACCCGACGAAGGGCTGTAAAACCCGCCTGTTTAGCGTCCGCTACAAACGTATTTCCCGCAGAATTTACATAAACACCGTAAGACTTTTTTAACGACCGGGAGTATACAAGTTTCGCTTTCTCAGGCGACTTCTCGCGTCCGGGAGTTTTATTGTTGCATCCCCCGAAGTCGGAAGTTTCGTGCGCGAATTTAAGTTAAACGTTTACTTTCGCTCGTCTATTTTCGTATCGTCCTGATTGTTTCCTGTAGGAAACACAACCTATAAGTAACAAAATGAAAAGTACATCACAAATAAACAAGTAATAAATAAAAAAAAATTGCCTTTTAGCATGTTTTCTGTTAGTCAGAATTAAAAGACAGACATTAAAAGACAGACATTAATAGTCTTAATTATTTACTTTCAGAAAATCACACACATATAATTAAAAGATACACGCAAGAAATCTTGCAATGCCTAAAAGTCACGTCCATTTCTTTTTTTTTTATATTTGACACAAGGAACGGGTCAACATGTTTATTATGAGCTGACTGATACACTGGGCTCAGATTATCACGAATTCGAAGGATTCGTACATTTAATAACGAGTAGTAAGAATAGTGAGAACATTTTCACGATCAAGTAATTCTCTATTTGGGAGAAACCACGTTCTCTTCGAATCCACGTTAAGTGAGACGAAGTAAAGAGAGACACACACTTCGGAATGTGCGTGTAACAGGCAAAACGCCTCGGTGCATCGCTAATTAGATGAAAACGTGCCGATGTCGCTGCATCACCACGCCTTGCCCAACTCGAATTGAGCGTAATGGACGTCGGCGGCGATACATTTATACTTTGTGCGAGCCGCGGACGCTTTTATATGTACAGTGGGTTGCACAACAGTTGAGACGTCATGAAGTCGGGAGCTCAGTAAACTGAACAAAATTGAAGGTTCTTTACTGGCAAGCTCTTTCCCAGCAATTATATCACCAATCATTATTATTGTTAATTATTATTGGTATTATTATTAGTTAGTGTTCTTAATTATAGTGTTAATTATATTATTATTGCGTCGATAATAACTCTCAATTTTAACAGTTTGATGAGCTCCCAACTTTATTGTGCGTAAACTGTCTCGTAAGCCATTAGTACGCTCGCATTTCGCGCACACACTTCTACGACGCTTTTTTACACTTGACACTTTTTACGATCTTGACACCCGGCTACGAGCGTGATCGCGCTCTTCACATTACGCCGCGGCGTAACTTGAACGACCTTCTTCCGAATCAAGGATGCGATGTAGTAATATACTGCAATTGCAACGGCGTACTCCCGGAGATGTACTTGAGCGCGACGGCGACGTTAATTATGATTGAGTGCGAAGATAATCGATCGATCGCGGCGGTAACTCGGCTAAACTCGGCTTTCACGGAAGTCCGATGGTTTCAATTGAGACTATGCGTAACATATTTGTATTTCGAATGCAAAATAAAGCGTCAATTGATAAAGTAAATCTAGTGACGCATTGCCGAATAAATTTTAATCGCGCTGAAACTTGCGCAAAGATCCCCGTAACTTGGGCACGTCGCAACAAAGGTGTTTGCCAAAAGTGTTTTCAACGCTGAAACCGGTAGCGAAAAGTAAAAGTTCGCAAAGTGTCAGTCGTTCTCGTGTCGTCGGCAGAAGCAGAGAAAATCAGCGGCTGGTGAAGATGGTTTTTAGCGTGATTTAATTCGATAGAGTAATCACTTATCTTAATAATTCTTTCGAGTCAGCTGTACTCGCGCCGTATGAAGAATCTATCTGTATCTACATTAGCGGAATACATTGTTCAGTATTCAGAAAAATCGCAGAGGGAATCAGCTTCGCCTGATACTTCTTACGTTCCAGACATAAATTTCACATTACCTCGCTGTATCTTGCGAATGAAACTTACATGCCAGCAACGTATCAACTCTTGGAGGGCTCTAGAAAATTATGAAAAATAGTGCACTTAATTTCTGTTCTTTCTGTTTAGGGTGAAGAGGGTATACGAGGATTTGATGGAACTCCGGGACACTCCGTACGTATAAGCCGCTTTATCTCCTCCTGAAGTAGACCTTAACGCTGTGAAGTCAACGCGATAAAACTGGATTAAAGTCCGCAACCTAAAAAGCGAAAAAATAAGAATAATGGATTCACGTTTTACTCATCAACAATCGAGTGCCGATCCTGTAGTTCGCCTTAAATATCAACTTTTCAAACAAGACAAAACGAGTTTTAAGTTTGTAACTTTTTGAGAAACGTATTTATCTAGACTTGGCACAATGTTTTGTGAACGTAAAAACATTTCCAATCTCGCAATTAGATTGATAGGAGTAAAAAAAAATGTCCAACTATTAAATCCATAAATGCAAAAAATATTCAATCTAACAATTAGATTCATAACTAGTCTCTTTAGAGATTGCGGCCTAGAAAATTTTGCAATGTACTTTTTTTCTCTGTTGGAAAGAAACTGAAATATCGCGAACCTCTATCCGATTGTTCAGGCCTCACGTTTCCAGGCCGGTTAGATTCATATTCAGTCTCATTAAAGATAACAGCCTAAAAACTTTTGCGACGTACTTGTTCTCTACACTGTAAAGGAAGCTGAAACACCACGAGACTCTCGTGTTTCCAGGCTCGATTTAGCGAAGCATCGCGAAGCTTTGCTTCCTCGTGTCGCGCGCTACAGCTACGATCGCGCAGTACAAAAGGATTATTCAGAAAGACCATGACGAATGTTGTTTAGGGTCATCCCGGTATACTCGGCGTGACGGGTCCGGACGGGCTGGACGGATGCAACGGAACGGACGGCCGCGAGGGTGCACCGGGTATGCCCGGAGTTTATGGGCCGCGCGGTGTGGTGGGACCGATAGGAGATTACGGTCCTACGGGAGAGCCCGGTGATGGAGGTATCAATTCGGTTGGTGCCAAAGGAATTCGCGGAGAGGCCGGTGTGAACGGACAGGAGGTAAGAGCGCTTCGCGTTTAACGTCGATCCTACGTTGCCGTTCGATCCGTGTGTGTTTTTGTTGTGGCGATTTTTATACGTCGCGCGCGCCAGGACATTATTTCCCCCTCTCCCCCCCCCCCC